GTAGCTGATATTGCTGCCATGTGTGTTCACCCAGAAGCAGATCACCGGCCATCAATGGTGGATGTCTTACGGTTGCTTATCCTGATGCACCAAATACGCACTACTTTTAGGCAAGTGAACCTAATCGATTATGCAGTATAAGATGAGTAAGATATCGTTCCCTCAAGGACTACCCTACACTACCAAGACCCTATTAATCTAACCTAAGTTGAATTAACCAATTAATGGGGAAAACTAAACTATTTAAAAGAAAACTAAGTCAACTAAGGAAAATTAAACTAAAGAATTTTCTAAGTTAAAGAAACTATGAATGAGAAAGAACTAGGGTTTGGATTTCATTTAATTCTGAATTATGCAACTGTTTCATTAATTTAATTCAAGTTCAAATAATAGTGTTATCGCATGAGATGACGGATTTCCCTAAATTAATTAACCAGCTTTCTCAAGTCAAGTTAATCCTTCATTTGTTTGCTAAATTAATCATATCTCTATGTAATTTTAAACAAACTAATGAGCATTAAATTCTATGAAAACCTCTAGCTTAAAAAGGGGAGCTACTAACTCTCTTCTCTTCCTCCACTACCACATGTGAGGTAATTACCTCTCAGTCTCATAGTCTAGCACACGGTTTATATTATTATTGGTATAATCTATACAATTCTTTCTCAAGTTCATGCATAAATCACTAAATCAAATCAATTGAAAAGTGATCAAGCTCTCAATACATTAAATTCAATAATATAAACTCGTCATGCAAATAACCAATAAATCTTGAATTAAACTAACAAAAACAGTCACATACTTAAAAAATTAAAATCCACCCATCCCTAGTTCAAAGAAACCTAGCCACACATATTTATGTTCTCAACAGCCATGAAAAATAAATCCCGGCAGAAAATCATAGTAAAAAAGCAGAAACAACAAAAACCCAAACAATGGAGAATTGCAGTTTGCCGAATGGTGCGCTGTTGTCTGGAAGCAAGGCTGGTGGAGAAGAAGCAAGACTGGGTGGTGTCGAACAGAGGCTGGGCGGTGTTGAACAGATTTCAGGGTCCTCTTGTGCAGATTGGATTCGGGTCCCTCCGATTAGGCTGGGCGGCGGCTTTTCCTTCAATGTGCAGAGCAATCCCGTGCGGCTGTCCTCTTCTGCTGCTAGTGAACAACAGAGGCGGGTGCTGGGATTTTGGGCGGCTGGGTGCTCTTGACCTTGCGCAGAACAACTTCCTCCCCTTTCCCGTCTGTGTGGCTCTATATATATCTCCCAGAAATTAGAAACCCCTTAACCCTAGCAGACATGGGAATTGGGCTTTGGTTTAAGCCTGAACTGCAGTTGGCCCACTCTTGAAAAAAACATAGCCCGTTTCTTTATTTCTGCACTGTCTATAGTCAAAACCGTCACTTTCAACTTAAATTCTGTATTGATACAGAATAAATTGGGTTGAGCTCACAAAGCATCAATTGTAGCTCTGCTTCTTAGCTTTCCAACGCCTGAAGAATCAACTCAATCCGATACCTAGAGAAAAAGATATGGTTAAATTACTGCAGTACATGCAAATTGTCACTTATTGCAAAATTAATTTCTATCTTAATTTCCACCTATAAATAATGAATTTAATATAAACAAAGGTGAAACTAAGTTATAAAAGACCCATAAAATTTAATTTTAGGCTCAAAAAGAGTAGATAAATGCATATAAAAATTAAACTCATCATATCCCTCTAGTTAAAGGCTTCACTCCATTATTCCTC